AGGGAAGTCTGAAGCTTCATTCAAGCTTTCTAGCTCATCGATTTGCAACTCAAAGCTTGCCATCTTGCGGGTTAAAAATTTGAAGGCTCAAAGAAATTTCCAGATTTTGTGGGATATCAAAGACACGCCATCCGCGCAAACATTATTTTTATTCTATATGTGTTGTATCTAACCCGTTTGGTTGACTCGTCCGACCATACGCTAAATAAACTTCATTTCAAGAGGTATTCGGTGTGTTAGACTCACTAGACTCAAATATATGACACATACGACTACTTCCAAAAAAACGGGATGGATCCCGAATACCATTCCCGGTTTGATCCACTGTGTCACTTGTATTCTCTTTTTCTCGTTTCTCCAAATATGTACTTAAAAAATCCTAATATATCCAACACGCAACACCAGCAACTAAAAACCGGTCGTGAAGATGTTGTTCGGGCAGTCGCTTGTGCGTTGCTCATTCCGTCAGGGGCACTGCTGCTCACAGTGTTTGTTCTTGTTGTTGGACCTTTCTTTCTATTGTCCGGCTTATGTTTGGTCAGCGCTTTGGCGGCCTGGTCAATCATAGTCGGATATTCATTTCTCTGATCGTATTCCTTGAATTCCATGGTGTAGGTCTGGTTTGCCTTGTCCAACATGCTTTGGAAGCGAGACCTGCCACAGTTGTAGAAAGATGCATTTGCTTTAAATGTTTCGAGAACTTCCTTCTTGAACGCGTCTTGGAGCGCCTTGGTATTGTCCGGATCGTCCTCCGGATCGTAGAGATCCAGGTACCCCATCGTCTTGGTCGCATCGACATGCAACACATCGGTGCCAAGGATCTCGAACAATTGATCAGCTTGGGCTTCGAACCGTCTTCTGTAATCGTTAACAGACTCATTTTGCTTCTGAGTACAGTTCGTGAATGTTAGAATAAAGCAAAATGTGCTCTATCATGAGCGCCTTTAGCGCTCAGAACAAACTCTCTGCAATCTAAATTTGTAATCGACTGTACAACACTTTCACAACAATAGTTCTCCTGTGTCTAGGTATACTTTGAGTGAAATTGTTCCTATTTGATTAATATTTGGCTTGAATTGATGATTCAATCACCAAAGTAAGTTCAACAATTTTTCCTTGGAAAATCCCTTGTTTACAGAACTTGATTTGACCTCTACGACAATTCTGTGTTGAATGCAGTACTTTGGGACAACTTGTATCATATAAATGTAATCGTTATGTTATTACGAGGGTGTTGACTTACGAAGTAGTAGATGTTAAAGATAGTAGTGTAGATCGAATCGTATTCTTAAAAAGAGTGTTGTTATTGTTGTTTCATCGACAGGCTTCCGCGAAGGCCGATCCCGTTCACTTACGGACACAAACCATTGCATGCGTGTGCAATAGCACGGTAGCCTTCATTTGCTCCCCTTGAATTGGGTTCCAACTTTGGGACCCAGTTCGATAACTTGTCTAGTACGTCCATTCCCCAAATAGTCGCCCTCTCCTTTCTAGTGTCAATTGCTTTGTGAAGGCATCAGCGAGGTTCAACATTCCTGCAATCCACGATACGTCAACAACTCCTGCAGCCACATTCCACCTGGTGTAATGACAAGCAATCGAATTATGCTTCTTGTTCAAAGTGGATTCGACCATTGTTGAATTCGTCACCACGCTCTTGTTGTCGCAAAATACGTGCAATGGTCCTTCTTCCAAAGGTATTCCGAACATCCTCAATTTGAACCTCAAATGAGTGATCGCCTCAATGCATGACTTCAAAGCAATGAATTTGGAACCAAAAGTACTCGCTTCTACCGTATTCTGTCGCTTGCTGTGCCATAAGATAGGTGCCCGATTGAGGAAAATCATGTACCCCATATGTGATTTCCGCGTTTTCTTATTGGCGCCATGTGAAGCATCTACCCAGGCAGTACTTCCTACACTTTGTCCCCTTGGTTTGGGTGTGTTGTGTGGCATCTCTTCCGTCGCATCTCGGTAGTATGCCTCAAAATCTTCCCTGGAGGATCTCAACTTGGAATAGTCTATGTTTGGCGTCCTCCAGTCGTAATAAAGGGTCAATTTTGGGAAGGCGTCCAAGAAAGCAAACATCCTCAATGCTTGTTCCATGTGTCCTTCCCTTGGAGCTGCTTGATACTGGCTCAGGAGTGAGACTTCCAGTAAGATATCGACTCGTCCAATCTCTGTCGCCCATCGTAATATCCCAATCAACTCTTGGAAGTAGGTATGGTCTTCTCGTCCTAATTCACTTGATCCATCCATCTCCGGTTCATAGGCACTAGTCATCGGCGTCGGCGCATTCTTGGGCACTTTCCACTTTGGGCTGTCCTTTAATGTTTCCTTGACGTTTTTGACTGCTGCCACAACGTAGTCACAACTTGACATTGTCCATGTGTCGTGTCCATCCAAAGTCTTCTTTCGTAACCTAGCTCCCAGGTAGCTTTCTGGAGGTTCAATCTTCCCTTTCTTGAACTTGAATACCCTTCCAATTCCTTCCATCACTTCTTTGGCTTTCATCAACATA